AAAAAAAAAAAAGATTCTGGTTCTGAATCAACTCAAAAATGATAATATTTTGCCCCCAACAGTTGAGGAAATTCCTTTTCTTCCTAGTTGTTACAATTTTTTCCATCTATCAATGCAGTGGTTTGATTAAAAGTTCAAAATTTATACTTTAAATTTTAACCCAGCCTTTTTTGTTGACTTCATGGCTCATATTGTAGCATTTGGGGCTATAATAGGATGCCTAGACCTGTTTTTATTTTTATTTTTTTTCGCCCTGTCGCTTCATATTTTTTCTGAAAAAATCCGAGAACCAACAAATTAAATTGGTGTGGCCTCAATGTTTAAAAAAATTGAGCTGACATTGCAGAGACTAGTTTAAACTTCCCCGGCCAGTTTTCATAAAAATTGATGCATGTTAAAAATTAGCGACAAAACTTGATATAAATATGATGAAAACATTAAATCATGTAAGCCACTTTTTAAAGACAATTGTTGCTGTTTGTGTGGTGCAGGTGTTTAATTTACATTCCAATATAATGGAAAGAGGAAATCATCATAATTGTTTGTTTTGATGCAATTTTTGCTTTATGATCTAAGTACTAGTAGTTGTTTTGCTATAGATCAGTGATGGCAATTTTTTGGTCAAACTAAATCTAATAATTACTCCAGAGTTAGAATCTGTCATGGCTGTCTTTTGGTAGATTACCCAAGATTCCACACTACTCCCACAATGCATTGTGATTCATGGGGAGGGGGGTTTAAGTATGGATTAGATTTACACTGGCAGAACTGTACTGTCAAGAGGTAAGATTATTGTGTTATCATGCACCAACTGATGCTGTTATGATTTTGTTTTATTAATTTAATGTGTACATAGACTCAATTATGGCACTATAACCATCAAACTGCTAAGAATGCCGTTTTGCACAGAATCTTTATTGGTTTTGGGGTTAGGAAGCAGGGAGTGGGTTAATTTTGTGCAATTTTTTCTTCACAGTCGTGTAAAGTTGGCATAATAACTGGAAATGCAAATTATTAATAACCTTTTCGCGCACATATACCATTGTAATTAGCCCTCAGATGTACATGATTATTGGATTTGTTACAATTATAATATTCTCATCTAAATGGTTAACAAACTGGATGTGTTTGATTTCACCAAGGCACTTGTCTTTATGGTATAATTAATACATTTCTGATATACAAAAACATGTATATGTAAAAATTACCTAACTTTCATAACTGTATCTCAGTCTGTGAAGGGCTCGTCTATGCACTAAGTTGTTTGAGCTCAGCAAGATAATTGTGCTTTAGGCCACACCAATTTAATTTCTTGGTTAACGGATTCGCCCGCTTCATTTTTTCTGATTTGCAAATTTAAAAAAATTGAGAAGCAAAGCAAAATGCTCATATTTTGCCCTGAACAGTTGAAAACAGTCATTTTCTTCCTACTTGTTACAGTTATTCCATCTTTAAATGCAATGGTATCATTAAAAGTTCAAAATTCATTGTTTAAATTTTGAACCAGCCTGGTGTGTTGACTTCATGGCTCCTATCGTACCATTTTGGGCCATAATAGGATGCCTAGGCCTGTTTTTAGTTTTATTTCGCCCGCCTGCTCCATTATTTTACTAGAAAAATCCGTTAACCAAGAAATCAAATTGGTGTGGCCTTATTGTTCTTTAATTTACACTGTACCTGGGTGATGGTTTTATCAAATGATTTTCAAGTGTTACACTTTTTCTTGTCACCCTTTAAGTAAACTCCAAGCAGACGTTGGGTGGATAACTTTTCTGCCAGTCACAAACATCTGCTTAGAGATTATTTTATAAGCTGTATCATTTGGGTCATTACATTTGAAAATTTGGGTGTTTATATGCATGAAAAGTCAAAGAATAACATTTGATGCCTCCACATTTTCATCAAATCTGATTTCTATGAAAGACAATCTCCCCCCAAATTTTACAAAATGGAACAACCCAGTGCATAACTGTGGAACTATTGTAGTACACATAATTGTTTGATGCTGAATTAAAACTGATATCAGGAACAGGTACAGATATATGTATTGAAGACTCAATTACACCATGTAACATTACATACATGTAACTTTGTACTGTCAACATTGAACTTTCAGATATTTGTGCACTGGAATTTTCTGAAAGATTAATTTGATATTTTATTCAAGCAATTTTGTCTTCTTTTTTGTAAAAAGAAGTCACTATAAATTCAGCCAAGGTATGATGGAAACTTTTCAATTCAAAGTGGGTCAAAAATTACTTTGCATATTATAACACAATACTGTCATATGTGAGCTTATATTTTAAAGGAAGATTGGTTATTATATATAGTGTAAAAGATATTGTTGTTGTCACGCTAAGAACTAATATAAGGCAGGGAATCACATAATTAATACACTGACTTTTTTTGTCATTTTGTCACTTTTTTGCAGCACAACGTAGCTTACATTAACACAAAAATATTATATATCTAACCCTCCCCTATGAATCTATGATAAATATATCAAGAGTTGTTTTGTAAATTGTTTTGCAGAATATCTCTATTATTATAAGATGACAGAGCTGTAAAATAATCTTATACAAGCTGTGATGACAGTCTGGGAACTGGTGAGGAGGTATCATCTATTGTCTGATCAAACTGGGTGTAATTTGTAAATTTTTGGAATAAACGGTTTAAGGGGATTTTTGTTTGCGTGTGTGCTCTTGTATTCAAGCATATACTGCTTCGTAAAATGCCTTCTAGTGCTGGAGTGCTAGAAATCAGCAGAATAACAGAAATTAGCTGAGTCAGAGATGATACATACTACATTGTATATGTTAAGAACAAGTTAAGAACAAATACAAACTAGGCAAGGTGATGGGCACTGATGTAAATAGCTTCCTTCACCCCTCTCAGGAAATAGTTTGTTCCATTGGACACTCTAAGAATATTGGACACTGAACAAGACCATTCCCTGAGAGGGGTGAAAGAGGCTATTTAATCAACCTTCACTCAACCGCGACGGGGCCGACATCGTCAACAAGATACATGTACTTTTGACCCAGTGTTGACATCACACTTCAAAGAAGCCTCACTGGGTCAGTCTACTGATGAAGACCAGAGTGACTGGTCGAAAGCTCTAGGTGAGAGAACTTAATTGTTCTTTGTTGGATCTTGAGTTTTAACTTCAAACAGTATGGGGTAGTCTTAAGGGAAGGGATACATATCTGCCGTCCAATGAAAAAAAAGCACCCAACTTTTGTCATGGTTGTAATTATGCATTATGATCATATTCCTTAGGGCAATATACCGACTGCTTCTACTTAGCACCGCATGAACAGAATATGGGTCCAAACGTTTCTTTTCTGAGGTATTCATTCAAAAGCAACTGGATTTCGCAGGATACATAGACAAGTGTCTTAAAGCGCGCTTATTCAAAATATAATGATAAACGCTTTTTAAGGCACTCTAAGCGATTTCAGGGCAGTAAAACTAGATTTTCAGTTTAATAATCGTTGATAAAGAGAAATGATCAATCGAAAAACGAAGTTATATGCTACACGTTTGTCGCATGAAATGTATTCTTGCTGTACCGAGTTATTTAGACGTATTCCTAGAGGCATTTATCGCAATAGCTGTAATGTTTGCATGTTGTCACCTACTGGCTAGAAAATGTTCTTGTCGTAATCAAAAGATAAATGGGTCAAACAAAGATCTGGAACAAACAAAGATTTATTGATTTCTAACATGCGTTTTCCTCAAATGATCAAAACACCGATGTTATAAAGTTGAATGATGAGGATTGAAAGCGTAAGCTGAAAGCCTTAATTAAGCCTTCGTATTTTTCAGGCCTGCATGTGTGATGATTGCCTATTGGCCTGTCGCTAATCTTATGTTAACTTGATTATCGAATTCAAATCTTGCTCATGATTCACAGGTGGCACATGCACATGTGCGTGAAAGACGAGTGTCCAAGATGGCATGCGTGCATGGACGGAAAGAACGAGCG